GCTCAGTGTCTCGCTCCCTTTTGTTAAGCGAATCCAGTTTTGGACGCGCCTGGTGGTCAGAGGCTGCTGCTAACAATAGGCGGCTAGGGAGAGCCCCAAACTGTTGGCAGACCCTGGTTTGTTCTTTGTACCCATCGCCCGGGGTCCACAAGCCGCTCCCTGCTCTCCAAGGGGGCTGCGCTGGGAGAGATGCACAGTGGGGCTTATAAAGGGAAGAAGCCAGTTTTGAAATCGGTATTTCCTCTTTCTGACTTGGAGGTGGGAGCTCTGCCCCGCCGCAAGCCCCGAGAGTGCAGGAAATCTAGGGCCCCCGGGGGGGGCTGCTTCTGGAACCCCTGCAAGGTGGGGTAGGGACCGCCTCAGGCCTCTTTCCTCTCTGCGCCATCCTATCCTGCCATTGGCATGATGCAGAAGCTGGCAATATGGCTCCTAACTGGATGGCTCGGTTATTTACTGGGTGTGTGCAAGGGGGGGGCGGAGAGGTGTAGTTCCCCAGGCTGCCCTCTTTTAATATCCGATCCATTTATCTCTCACTCACTCACACACACACACACACACACACACACACACACACAGCTGCTTAACACCTGTCAAACTCCTATGATCCCAGGTGCATCTGTCCCTGGGGAAGGTGATGCAGCAGAATTGCTTCTAGTGGATGTGGGAAGCCAGGAGGCCTCCTGCCATGCATGGTTATTCCAAAGCGGGGTGGGGGGAGAGGCAGATCAATGTTGACTTTTCCCAAAAGCCGGGAACACCCCGACTTCCCTTCGACTAGCCCGTGGTGATGCCTCTGCCCCATGGCTCTTGCAGGGGGTGCAGGCTCAGGAAGGGGCTAACAGAGCGGGGGCAGCAGCGCGGGCCCCTGGCAGTGCCTTCTCCTGAGTTTACTCCAGCAGACAGAGATACCCTCTGCTGCGGGTGCCCCAGTGGGGGAGGTAGCTGTTGGCAGGGCTGCTGGTGCGGAAAGGTGGAAGGAGCGCCCTGTTCTCCACGGCGCTTGCTGCTTCCTGGGATGAGACTGTCTCACGGCGAGTCACGACCTGCTGCTGCTCTGGTCCCGGCTCTGCAGGCTAAGGTGCCGTGTCCTGGCGCAGGGCCCGAGTGCTGTGGTCTCTCTCCTTGCTCCGCGTTGCCTTCTCCGCCGTGTCAGGATTGTTGTTTTCCTAGGCTGGGGCTCCGCTTGCCTGGGAGAGGCACTGTTTATCCGAACTGGCCTCGGGGAGAGGCTGCGTTTCTAGCTAATGAAACACCAGAGCTCGGTGACTCCACCAGCCCGCTGACCTGAGGCTTGGCATCTCGGGATGATTGACTTGGGTGTCACGCTGGGAGCTGTGTTTTGGGGTCCTATTATTTCTTTGTATTACAGTCGTGCTTAGAGACCCCGACTGAGACCAGGGCCTGAGGGGCTGTAGGTACACAGATTATCCCTGCAGCATGGTCCAGTGGGTGGAGCACGGGGCTGGAACTCAGGAGACCTGGTTTCTGTTCCTGGCCTGCTGGGTGACTTCAGGCAAGTCACTTTGCCGCTCTGTGCCTCAGTTTCCCCATCTGAAAAACGGGGAGAATGATCCTGACCTTTGAACTCTACTGTTCGGAGGTGAGCGGTGGTGGTAGCATTAATAAAAAGCTCGCGGGGCAAATAGACAAGACAGACAAAGGGTGGGAGGGGAAACAGACGCAGAGGAGAAGTGACTTGCCCAAGGTGGCACAGCAGTGGCAGAGCTGGGACTAGAACTGGTCTCCCGCGTCCCACTCCAGCGCCCTGGGTGCTGCTGGGCCGTGCTGTCTGTCCTGTACGTCCCCTAACCCACGGCTTGGAGGAAGAGGTGATGGTGATTTAGGGACTGGAGAAAACACCTGCTGTGAAATAGTTGCCTGCCTGACAGGTGAAATGCTGTTAATCGCTTTACAAACGAGAGGGGCTGAGTTCGTCTTGCACGAGGGGGGGGTTCCTCACATCCCTCCACTCCCCGCCCTCGTGCTCCCTGCCAAGTTCTTTGTGTGCTGCCCTGTCATCCCCCTCTATTTTGGGGGCTCCCTGTAACCCCCCCACCTCCCCCCTTATGCCAGGGACTGTCCCCCCCCCATTCCCTCCTCTGTGGGCCCCCCCTCAATTATTCCTCCTTTATTTCCTATCTGGGCGGGAAGGGTGTCCATGCTAACCTCTATTGAGAGGATGGGCAGAGCTCACCTGGGGTGCTGGAATGTGTTAATGGCTGCCATCTGCCGGTGCTTTGATCTAGAGACCCTTACAGACCCGGTGGAAGCTGACTGTCCCCTGTTTTGCCCCTTCCAGTTGGCCTATTTTTCACCAAAATCCATAGGGGTCTGCCTACTGATGCCAAGGAGAACCGGGGCTCTGGCATCATTTTCGCAGGCCTTCCAAAAGGAGGAGGGTCCGTTCGGTGAGCAGCTCTCGTTTCCAGGACAAGCTCTTCGTGAACCAGAACGGCTTCACAAAGCGCTGGTGTCCGTTGCTTTCCGGCCACTGTGCCAGTCTGCCCAGCGCCTAGCAAGGCGGGGGTCTGGTCAGAGAAATAAATAAATAACGCTAGCAGACCCCGCTTTCCTTACAATTGTACCCAACCCTCCCATGACAGCCCCTTGCATCAGAGCCGGCTGCACTGGTTGGCGACCCCGGCGCCCTCTGACTAGCACGTGGGGCTGGTTTGGAACGGTCCAAACGTGGTTGTGGGCGGAGGTGTGCCCTGTCGGGATGCGGGCACTGGCCGCGCACCGGTGCCGGGAAACGGAGCCTCTTGTGCCCCCTGTTTGTGGGTCGCTCATCTAGTCCGTCTGTCCTCCTCTGGCCAGCGCAGGGTTGTCTCTGTGGTATGTTCTCAAATGACCCGCCGGATGGGGCTTCCCTGCGTGGCCGAATGGGCAGAGGGCGCTCTCGAGTGGGTTTGGACGGTGATCTTAAGCGCTGACTTTAGTTTCTCCGCTTCTTGTCCGTGCAGCGGCCTCCCAGCCTGGCCTGGGCTATGTGCGTTCAAAGCGTCTTCTCCACTAGCGTTTGCAAATGAAAATGGAGGAAATGTCTTTGTCTGGCCTGGATAACAGCAAGCTGGAGGTAAGCGGGAGTGAGCCGGGACCTGCAAGCCTCCAGAGAGCCACTTTCCCTTGGCGAATCCTTCCCACCATCCTGACTCAGGATTTAATGAGCCCGTTTTCCTCTGCGCAGAATTGTCTGTGCAGCAGGCAGATCTACTGGCTGATCAGGGAGCAAGGCGTGTCTTTGCCACTCCTCTCAGCCCTGCAGAGCCAACAGGATTCCAGGCTGCGTTAGCCACAGCTGCACGGATGCAACCCCGGGGATGCAAGGGATGGCGGCGGGGGTAGAATTTATTACTGGGGGTGATGCTGGGAAGAGCCAAGCCTGACTCGTGGGTCCTGAAATGCCAGGAATGTGGATTCCTATAGTGCTGGCCTTTGACCCCTTTATGGTGCACCCAAGGGGAGGGATGTGGCGAATCGCTGGGAAACCAATGACACTGAGTCAGAGGGAACGCCAGTGAAACTGAATTCCGGAGCTTGCCTAGGGAAGGTGAAAGAATGGGCCCACAGCTTTACACGTGCGCCCAGGGCTGTCCTGGGGAAAGTCCTGTTGGGTTGTTGGACGGGGGGCAGCTTGCTGTATTCCTATGGAGAGGAGGGACCCCTCTTTCAGGGTGCAGGCGTAGAGTCTCTCTCCTTCCTTGCAGTGTTAGTGAGGAAGCAGCCATGTGTCCAGGTCTAACTGGAAGCCACGGATGGGGGTGGGGGCGCGAGAATCCACCTCATTGGGGCCCCCGATTCTGCCCGTCCTGAGCGGACCCCTCTGGGAGGGGAAGAGTCTGGGTTTGCAGCGGGACGTGGGTACATCCAGACCATGCGACTTCATCCCAGGACGAGGAAGATCGAGGCAGAAGGCTGCTGTCTTGTGGGGAGAGCTGGGAGCCATGAGACTTCCTAGGGTCGCTCCTCTGTGCCTGCTTCTGCCCCTTCTGTTGCCTTCTGGGGGAAGAGAGCAGGGAAAGCTCCCTGATCCCAGACTCTTCGCTCTTCCCCCCCCCCCCCCCCAATACCTCCGTGGCTGGGGGTAAAGCGGCGACAGCCTCGGGTGGGAGACCACATGCAGCTGGGCCCTGCGTAGCCACCAGTGGGCACCTGCTCCGGCATTGTGGCGTTTGCTGGGACGGGCAGGAAACACGCTCAGGAAAGGTGGCAGCAGTTGCTCTGGGGTACAGTGCAAGGGGAGGGGGTGTGAGTGGGGGGCAGTGGGGAGGGGGCACCGATTCTTTGCAAGGGTGGCGGCGGTGACCTCTGCCCCAAGCTCTAGGAACCATCTTGGATCTGCCATTCAAACCCACGGCGCAGCGATGGCCACTAAAACCAGCCATTGTCCTGCTGGGGTATTTCCTGTTCCGGGCCTGGGCTGTTGAAAATGGCAGGGGGGTAATTTCACCTGGTGGGATGCAGTCGGGTCTCCCTCCCCGCGGCTTCTCACCGGCTCTGTTGGGCCCCAGGCCATCGCTCACGAGATTTACTCGGACCTGGTCGAAGACGCCTGCCTGGGGCTCTGCTTCGAGGTGCATCGGGCGGTCAAGTGCGGTTACTTCTTCCTGGACGACACGGACCCCGACAGCATGAAGGATTTCGGTGAGTTCCCTCGAGGGCCCCTTTCCTGCTCCCTTCCCCCTCCTCTGACTTAAGGGGGGCAGAACCGGCAGGAGCGTTCTAGGAGGATTTAAAGGGACAGGCCAACTTGGCTCTTTAGAAATGGCGAATGGAAAGCCGGGATCCGGTTTCTGATGAGGCCCCTTCAGATAGCAAAGCCTGATGCGTCCAGAAATGCCCTTGAAGGCCACTTTGAGTCTGGTCTGCTCCCGCGTTGAGCTTTGAAAGGGAGACACGGTGCTACAGTAAAAAGCAACAGAGGGTCCTGTGGCACCTTTAAGACTAACAGAAGTATTGGGAGCATAAGCTTTCGTGGGTAAGAACCTCACTTCTTCAGATGCCACAGTGCTACAGTAGCTACCCAGCGACAGGGTAAACTGGCCAGACACGCAGTGTGGGTCCACGCGCGGAGTGAGTGAACTTGAAACCCAGTCGGGATACAGGGAACCATCCTGGATCAGATCAATGGTCCGTCTAGACCAGTGGCTCGCCACCTTTCCAAACTGCTGGGCCCCTTTCAGGAGTCCGCTTTGTCTTGCGTGCCCCCGGGTTTCGCCTCACTTAAAAACGACTTGCCGACAAAATCAGACCTAAGCATACAAAAGTGTCACAGCCTCTAGTACTGAAAAATTGCCGCCTTCCTCAAATTTATCCTATAATTATCAAATACATCAACTGGAATATAAATATTGTCCTTCCATTTCAGTGTATAGCGAGCAGTATAAACAAGTCATTGTCTGTATAAAATTGTAGTTTGTACTGACTTCGCTAGTGCTTTGTACGTAGCCTGTTGTAAAACTAGGCAAATATCTAGGTGAGTTAATGTACCCCCTGGAAGACCCCTGCGTACCCCCCAGGGATACGCGTACCCCGGTTGAGAACACTGATCGTCCAGTCTCCTGTCCCTGACATTGTCCAGCACCAGCTGCTTCAGAGGAAGATGCAAGAAACTCCGCAGTTAGGGAATAACCAGCCCATGGGGAAAATGTTTTCCTGGCCCTGTTCACTGGAGGCTGCTTTCTGCCCTGGAGCCGGAGGCTTGTCCTTTAATCCTTGTTTTCCTCCAACTCCTCTGAGTTAGGCCTTGGCTAAGCATAGGAATTGTACCACTTGCACTAGACGCTCAAGGGGCTGCAGCCTCCCTCGTGTGCGGGCAGCGATCCCGGTGTAAAGCTGCCGTAGGTGGGTGAAGCTGCTCTGGTTCGGGAAGGGGAGGAAGCTGTGCGGGCAGTTTCACGGTCTCCGCACCAGGGCTTGCACGAGGCTGGTTAGCATGTGCACGCCGTAGTTGTAGCCGTACAAAACCTGTGAGTTGCTCAGGCTGCGGAGTGGCCTTCGGGATGTGGTGTCGTCAGAGAAAGGCAGCGGTTTTCAAACCTCTGGGGTCCCTCTAAGCCAGAGGTGGGCAAACTACGGCCCGCGGGATCGTCCTGCCCGGCCCTTGAGCTCCCGGCCAGGGAGGCTAGCCCCCGGCCCCTCCCCTGCTGTCCCCCCGCCACCGCGCGGGCAGCGCTCTGGGCGGCGGGGTTGTGCGCTCCTGCCAAGCAGAGCGGTAGCATGTCTGTCTCTGGACGGCCCGGCTGCCAGACATGCTGCTCTGAGCAGCATGGTAAGGGGGCTGGGGGGTTCCGGGGGGCAGTCAGGGGACAGGGAACAGGGGGCGGTTGGATGGGGCGGAGGTTCGGGGGGCGGTCAGGGGAAGGGGAACTAGGGGGCTTGGATAAGTGTGGGAGTCCTGGAGGGGGGGCTCGGTTGATCAGCACACTCGTTCCTGGGTTCCATGCCACAGAGCGATGGGCACCGGGGGGGGATCCCAAAGAAATCTGCCCGTCTTCACTGACGGCGCGTTTAAAAAGCGTGACGTGTTTGCAGTCAGGTTGGGCTCCTGCGCCGGTCCCTCTTCCTGACGTGAAGTGAGAAACCAGTTTAAAGAGAAATTCCCAAGTGTGCCGCTTCATATTGGGTTATGCAGAAACCTTAACACGCTCAACCCACTCGGGGGGCTTGGTTTGGGTAGCGAAGGGTCAGACAATAGAAATGTATCTAAACCTCAGACTTGGCCTTTCGGTGAAACTTTCATTTGCCTGACAAAATCTAGGGCAAAGTCACCTGGAGGCATCAATACACGCATGGCGTTGGCTGTGCTAATAGGATCTGTCTCTCTTGGGGGGGGGGGGGCGTGTTGGAGGGCAGGGGGGGGACCTCGGGTTCGGTAGCCTCAAATGGGGGGGGAGGGGGCTGTCTGGGGACTGGCTCTTAAACTGACCTTGTTAGTGAGGGTGGAAGGGGAGTTTTTATTGTAATCAGAAAAGCGACTGTGTAAAAACAGCCTTTTCTCAGCACACGGCTCCTTGGGGCCCCAGCGACTGATGTTACTGAAACAAACGACAAGTTTTCCCCTGCGACTGCCGCAGGAGAGGGAGCTGGAGTGGATTCTGCCACCCTATTGCTATGTATCCGTATTCGAGTACCAGCCCCGACCGAGCTTGGGCTCTGGGGCAGCGCTTTTCCAGTCGGGCTTCGGGGCCCCCCTCTTGCCTCAGTTTCCCCTCCCTCCCCAGTTCATCTTGGGAGGCTGGTTTCTGCCAAGGAGCTCTGGAGGGTTACTCAGCCTAGCCAGGCCTTTCTACTAGCCCTTTCCTGGCTGTTCTTCCCGCGCACACTCACAAGGCTGCCCTGGTATCCCTCGGCAGGCCTCGCTGGTCATCACCTGCTCCCCATCCTGCGGCCCTTGCATTTATCCTGGGGAGCTGGGCTATGCCTAGCACACATGTGGCAGAGCCCCACCCCCTTAGAGGGCCAGCTCATCCTGCGACCGGCCCCGATGGTGCCAGGTGCTGTACGTATTCCCAGTTCCCAGGTGGAGTTGGAAGCCTGGATGCCTAGAGATATCAAACGTGCTCTGTGTCCTGAGTCTGCTCGGAGTCCGTGGGAGCAGGGGGCTCTCGGTATCTCCCCAGGGCCGGGTGCTGGCTTGCTGTTGAGGCGGGAGAAAGTTGGGCTGTCGTGGAGACTCTCCGAGCAAGCTGGAGCGTTGTGTGGCTGGGGTGAGGGCTCAGGGACGTGACGGTGGACACTAATGGGCCCCCCCACGGAGGTGGTCCGTGCCTGCCCCGTGGCACCAGAAGGGCTGACGCTTGTGGCCCCCTCTTTCTCAGAAATCGTGGACCAGCCCGGCGTGGATATCTTCGGCCAGGTCTACAACCAGTGGAAGAACAAGGAGTGCGTGTGTCCGAACTGCAGCCGCAGCATCGCTGCCTCCCGCTTCGCCCCCCACCTGGAGAAGTGCCTGGGGATGGGCCGGAACAGCAGCCGGATTGCCAACAGGAGGTGAGGGCGGGCGGGGGCTGGGAGCAGTGGTTGCCGATCACAGAGCCCTTTGTGGCCACAGACCGGACCGCAAAGGGGTCACGGACACCGAGCCTGCAACGCATGTATCCCCACTCGGGGAAACCGAGGCCTAGGGAACCTTAGCAGGGCATTCTGGTGAGTCTGTGGCAGAACTAGGTTTAGAACCCAGGAGTCCTGACTTAACCACTAGGCCACCCTCCCTTCTCTGAGCTGGGAACAAAACCCAAGAGTCTCGATCCTCTTCGTTTGGGAACTGCTGGCCCTCGCCCCCCTCCCAGAATCAGGAACAGAACCCAGGAGTCCTGACGCCTATTTCCCTAATTGCAATTAACAGAGTTTTTTGTAAAACCTTAAAATTTTTGAAACCGCCATGCACTGTATTTTGCCCCCCCCCCCCCCCCCCCCCGTCCATGCAGTTGGCTTGTTGCTCAAGACGCTCCTTCCCCCTTTGCTGATCTCTGTGGATGTGGAGTTTTGTGGGGTGACTGGGTGTCCCTCGGGCCGTCTGCTGGAGGGTGGGGGGCAGGCCTCCGGAGCTGAGCGCCCTCACGTCTGTTCCCCCCCCCCGCACCCCCCCAACAGGATCGCTAGCAGCAACAACATGAACAAATCCGAGAGCGACCAAGAGGACAACGATGACATCAACGATAACGACTGGTCCTACGGCTCCGAGAAGAAAGGTAGCGGGGCTGGGGGTGGAGGTGGGGGGCGAGTAGGTGGGAGGGTCCGTCTTTGTGCAGTAAGGGGCCGGATCACCCCGCCTCTGACACCCAGTGGGCTGGGCTGTGACAGACCTCCCCGGGGAGCCATGTTGAGGGGCAGTGTGAGAGGTAATGGGGTTCCCACCCCCCATACCTTAAGCCTGGCAGCCCCACTGAAGGGCCTGCCCGTGACTTGCTCATCAGTGGGGCAGACGTTGGTCCCAGCCCCTCGTGCCCAAGGTCACGGGGGGGGGGTCTGGAGCAGAGCCAGGAAGTGATCCCCAATCTCCTGAGTCCCAGCCCAGAGCCGCCACCACAAACCTGTCTTGCCTCAACATGGGGGGCTGGGAAATAATCTCGCCTAGCTCCTCGCTTGGGGGTGGTCTTCGTGCGGCCTCTTTCCGGTGCCTCCTTGGCTCTGCGTTCTGTCCCCTGCACCCCAGCCCGTCTCTGCCGGTTACCCAACGTCCTCGGGCAGCCGGCTGAGCTGGGGAGGCTGTTGGCCACGTGGACACCAGGCCGAGAGGCGCATTAAGCACCTGGCAGAGCGAGAGAGTCTGTGGCTGCGTTTCGTGCCCTCGGGAGCCGCCTAGCCCGGCTGCGGCAGGGTGGTGGTGTGGGCCGGCGCCGAAAGGGTTAAAGCAAAGCAGCGTGGGGTTTGGCTTTCGGTCCCTTCTGGCCATCCTGTCCCATCCCCATTTCCCGCCCCGCTCCGACGGACCTGGGCCTTTTCAGCCTGGCTCTCCTGCCCCTGGAGGGGACGGGGTCCGAGGTTGGTTTGGATGTTGTGATGGGGGGCACTGTTAAGGCTAAAGAACAGTATTCCTTTCTCCTCCCTTCCTAGCAAAGAAGAGGAAATCCGATAAGGTACGTGCTGTGTGGGCGAGGGGATGTAGGGTTGGGGGGGAGGAGAACCAGCAGCTGTGAGCTCTGGGACGCAGGCTGGCGTCAGGTGCGTGAGGTCTGCAGGGTACATACTGGCAGCGGGGCAAGGGAAGGTTGGCCCGGGAGCATGGTCCTGCCCTGATCTGCATGCCCCATGGTGTCTCTAGTGCCCATCGCGGGTGCAGGGAGCGGCCGGCAGCTCGGCTCATTGCTCGCTGGGGGGGGGAGGCCATGCTCCGTTTGCACCCGTGGCCGCATCAGGGAGCGAGACTTTCTGTATGCGCTGCCCCAGCACTTTCTGCTACGGCGGCCAGTTCCCTGCACGGGCTGCTCTGGGAGGCTCCCACGAACGTTCCTGGTTAGTGCCATGTTTGCACGGCTGGCTCTGTCGACTCCTGCTAGTCTGTCAGGGGGGAGAGGTCAGTGCAGGGCGGGGAAGAGCGATCAGTGGGGTAAATGGGGGGGTGAGTTGCAGCCTAGTTCCTAGAGAGTGAAGGAAGCCGGGGGGGGGGAGGCCGCGGGGGCTGTGGGGGGGGGGGGGGGAAGCCCCCGGCATCAGCAGGTGGCTCGCTGGCCCCTTTAGTTCTGGTCCCAGGTGAGTGCGTTCCCTTGAATAACCAGGGTGAGGGTTGTGGGTGTGAATGACCAGATCCCAGGGGCTGGGCAGGGAAGGGGACGGCCAAGGTGCATTCAGACCCCGCTTCATTCTTCCTCTTCCCCAAAGCGTCTGTGTCTGTCTTATTCCAGAACCCCAACTCGCCCCGGAGATCGAAATCCTTAAAACACAAAAATGGTAAGTGGCGAGGGGGCGGGGCACCTTGGCGAGGGGGCGGGGCACCTTGGCGAGGGGGCGGGGCTTAGGCCAGCTGGGACTGGCGCTCCCCACTGCCTCTGGGAACAGGCCTGATGTCTCGGCGGGGCGGCCAAGCCCTGCCATGACTGCGACAGCGCAGCAGGCGGGACCCGATGCTGGCCTGAGCCGTGCGGCAGGGCAACCGCAATGTCCTGGGGAAGCCTGGGACGTGCGATGCTGGAAGGGGGAGCAGTACCAGGGCATGGCATTAGCCTGCAGCAGGCATTCCTTGGGGCGAGCCCCTGGGGAAAGCCAGCAGGCTGCTGGGTGAGGCCTGGCCGGCTCCTCACCTGTACCCCAAGAGAATACACCGTTCCCGACTCCTCCTCTGCATGCTGGGCCCTCCATCCCCCCTTTCCCCCCAGGCCTCTCTCATGCCCCCTAAACCCGCTTCTCCTGGCAGCCCCTCCGCCCGCCCCCACCTGTGCCTGGCTGAGACAGAGGTCCCTGGGGCAGGGACTGGCTTCCTATGGGCTCCGTCCAGCACCCTGGGGACGCACGCGGGGCTGCCCGAGGAGAGGCTGCTCGGTGGCTCTCCAGGCCCGGGCAGGGAGGGTGGGAGTGTGGCTGGCCTGGGAGTCCCCATCTCTCCCTTCGCCCGAAGTGACAGACGGCCGCGTCCCGTGTCTCACCATCTCGTCCTCTTTTCAGGGGAGCTCAGCGGGAACTCGGATCCCTTTAAGGTGAGTGTAGGTGCGAATCCATGTCGGGAGGGGAGATGGAGGGTGGGGGGGGGACAGCATGGCCCAGTGGGTAGAGTGCTGGCCTGTGACTCAGAAGACTTGGATTCTATTCCCAGGTCTGCCACTAGCTTGCTGGGTGACCATGGGCAAGTCCCCTCCCCTCCCTGTGCCTCAGTTCCCCTCCCGCCCCTCACCCGGTGTATTTAGATTTGAAGCGCTCTCAGGCCGGGGCTGGTTTACACCGCTCTGGGGCCCTGATCGGGGTTAGGGGCTACAGTGCTCTCACGCTGCACCCCTGACTGTGCTTGTGACACTCGGTCACCCTTGTGTCTCCCTGCAGTACAGCAACTCCTCTGGAATCAACTACGAAACGCTGGGTCCCGAGGAGCTGCGCTCGTTGCTCACCACGGTGGGTAGCCCCTTGGGCCGGAGCTGTACCGACGACGGAAAGGAATCTCGCCCCGCTTGGGAGCCAGGGCTCCGGGGTTCTGTCCCTGCTGACTTGCGTTGTGGCCTGACAGCGCCGCTCTGCACTTGCTGCGTGGCCTTCCCACTCTGCTTGGGGCTTCAGCAGTCCAACTAGCCAGAGAGTCCGGGGAGCATCGCTAGGTTGCCCCGAGACCCCAGAGAGTCCGTCGTCCCTGCTCGGGGGATACAGAGCCCATGAGTTAGGGTCCAGGGAGGTTGTCCGAGTCAAAATCCCCACACCTCCTTCGCCATCCCCAGGAGTTTTTCGCTGGTAGAGCCCCTCGTCTTTAATATCAGCCTGTAGCTAGGAAGCATCTGATAAACTTGCAGCTACATTGCCTGCCCTCAGCTTCCTGACTGCATGGGATGGGGGTCTTGGCTACTCCTGTGGAGTCTCCCCCCGGCCCAAGCCCTTCCTCTTGGGCACTGCTCCTTGTTCAAACGCTGCCTACCTCCGATGCAGTTGACCTGCCTCTGCAGCAATGAAATTGATGTCTTGCTGCTTACCCCGCCACTGTTGCCTGCTGGGCTGGGAATAGCAGCAGCAAAACTGACCAGTCTAATTGGTTTCATGCTGCGGCTGCTTGGGGAATACTCTTACCAGCAGCAGCAGAGGCACTAGGGCTGCCCTGCTGCAGACTAGGGAAGACAGGGCTGCATTGAACCATAGATGGAAGGTTGCCCTGGGGAGTGAAATCTTTCAAGCTCTGGGCTGCCCCCGGAACCAGGGGGAACCTTGTGTCTCTGGTTGCCAAGGAAGGTCCCACGTTAAGGGTGTTTGAAAACCACACATAGCAATACCTCTGCGCTGGGACACCTCCGGTTGCTCACCCCGTCTGTTTTCTCTCTAGCAATGTGGGGTGATCTCCGAACACACCAAGAAGATGTGCACCAGGTGAGAGCACTGCCTTGGGTCTCTGTGTCCTACTCAGGGACTCTCCGAAAAGTTTGCTCAGGTGGCTTGGCCTCGCTGCAGCCTGGGACTGCATGGTGGGGGGGTCGTCTCCTCCTGTCCTAGGAGCAGCTGTTGCTGAGTTACTGGCAAGAATCACCCCCTCCGCCCCCCAAGCATGGCTTTCCGGGGTGCAGGGAGGCAGCCCGGGAGCAAGGGTAGGGCTGGAAAGTACAGGGAAGGGGAACAAAAGCCACTGTGTGCTCCAGGCCTCTGAACTCCTGTGTCCCCGCAGGTCTCTGCGCTGCCCCCAGCATACAGACGAGCAGCGGAGGTCAGTCAGGGTCTACCTCCTTGGACCCTCTGCGTAAGTGCGATCAGACACAAGCGGAGCCGAGACGCGCCCGTGGGAGATGGAAAAGGCTCCTCTGGGCCTGCTGCCTCCAGGCCGGGCTATGCAGTGCCAGCTCTCTGCGCCCCGGCGGGCTCGTCTCGAGGAGACGTTGAGCGAGGCCCTGGCGTGGTGTCTCTGGACCTCAGCCGAGTGCAGACAGCAGGGGCAGCCACTCCCCCAGATGTGCCCTTGTTCGGCCCCAGGTCTAGTGGGGACTTTGCCCAGTGCCGTGTGGGTAGCCCTGGGGAATGTCTGTCCCAGGTTGGAGGCAGGTGACCGAGTGTGGGATAGCAGCCCAGGAAGGCGCACGGAGGGGAGAGGTTTTGGAGACTGGCTGGGGGGGGCTCGGTTCCTGGAAGGAGGGAGTCTGTTCCAAGTGGGGGGGGGGGGGGCAGAGGGCTTGAGGCAGTGTGAGGGGAGAGGAGCTGATTCTGGAGGGCTCTGGGGAGCAGCAGGAGGACCCGAGGGTAGGGCTCTCTGCAGGAGCTGGGCAGGGCTGTGTGGCTCCCTCCCCACCTGGGCCACCTGGACTCTGCTTCCACCACAGTCAAAATCTGGCTCCGAGGGCTGGCCTGGTGGTAGCGGGAGGACGGGGACCCTTTGAGGAATGCTCAGAACCAAAGCACCCTTGTTTGTTACCCCCACCCCAAAACAAATGGAACAGCAGAAGCCCGGGGGGGGTGCAGATCCTAAGGCCTCGTTGGTGCCCAGTCCCACCAGAGCACATCTCCTCCCCCTGAGACCTCCCTGGCCCCATCTGCCTGCTCCCCTCGCTCTGCAGGGGAACCCGTTGCCTGGTGGGGCGCGGGCTCAGGAGCAGGGTGGGGGGATTGCTGCGTGCGGCTAAGGGATGTGTGGAAGGCTGTGACCCCTCTCCCGTGTGCCCCCCCCAGCTCGCTCCCGGAGGCAGAGGGCAGCGTGGAAAATGAGGGCTTTGACGTGTCGGAGAGCCAGGCCATCATGAGCCGGCTGCAGTGGGACGGCTCCTCGGACATCTCGCCCTCCGACTCGGCCTCCTCGAAAGCGAGTAAGAACTGGGGCCCGGGGGTGGGGGTCTCAGCCGGCTGCCGGGGTCCTGGGAGAAGTGCCCTGAGGAATCGGGGCAGCTCCCCGGTCCACCGTGCCCTCGGGAGAGGGGGCAGGCTGCCCTCCCTCCCCCCAGTTAGGAGGAAACCCCTCTGCTTTCCTCCCAAGGCTCTGGGGAGTGGGGCTTTTCCCTTTGGTTTGGAGTGGGGGGAACATGGGGCCCCGCGGCTCACATTCCCTCTTCTCCCTTCGGCCCAGGTACGAACAACTCGGAGTCACGTAAAACCAAAAAGAAGAAGCCGCACCTGAGCCTGGTGGGGGGCACGCCGGGGCTCAGCTCCAGCAAGAAGAAGAAACCCAAACCGCCCGCGCCCCCCACCCCCAGCATCTACGACGACATCAACTGAGGGGCGGGGGCGGGCGGCGGCCCCTGCGCCGGGCCTGTCCTGACTCTGATCGCGCCCGGAGGAGCCAAGCGACGCCTCATACCCCCTGCTCTATTGACTGTGAAGAGAGAGAGCCCGTCTCCGGGAATCGGACTGCGCGGGTGCAGGGGGCACCTGTCTCCAGGAGGGGGTGCTGTGGAGCTGGAGGACGTCACTGCCTGCGGGGATTGTGGGGCATGGCTGACATGTCCCTTCCCCCATGTCTATTTATTCTGTGATTTTTACTGGATGTCCAATCATGACTATATGGTGACGTCTGTCGCTTGGCAACACTAGAGCCGGGTGTGTGTGTGGGTGGGGGGGACTGAGCGGATGCCACCCTGGGCCTTGAAGGGAGGCACCGGAGAGGAGGGGTGCGGGAGCCAGGCCATGCCAGCCCTGCAGCCTCCCTGCCTTCTCTGACTGACGAGCCGAAAAGTCAGGGGATCTGAGGGGAGGAAAAGGCCCCTTCAGAGCCACCTCCTCCAGGGAGCAGGGTGCTGGCCTCTGAGGAGGAGCTGGTACAAGGATCAATGCCCGGGGCAATACAGGCCTTCCCTTTTACTTCTGTCATGGGACTTCTGGACGGGCCTTGATTTGGCATTTTGGGGGGGGGGGTGCGTTCCTCCTTCCTTCCGCCCCCAGGTGGGGAGGGGGCTGGCTGGTGCCAGGTCCGCGCGCCAGAGCGGAGGGCGTGATCTGATGTCCCTGCTGTGGTCCGCTCTCCCCGCAGGGCGGTGGCCGTGTGCCAGCCTCGCTCTGTGCGGGTGCTCGCCGGTCGGGCAGGCCCCAGAGCGGGCACCTGTCGGGGCGCTGTGTGAGGACTGCGGGGTTCGGGGAGGGCGGAGGCTGGATGGTAATACACATTCCCGTGGGGTCCCCCTCAGCCGGTTGTACCTCCTGGCATGGGGAAGTGCCCTGGCTGGGCTTGGAGCTGCTTGGCTCCGTGATGTTGCTGGCGCTTGTTCTGCCATCTCTGCCTGGGGGGGGCGGGGCTGCTGTACTGTAGGGGGTGTACATGCCTGCTGTGGGGCAGGGGGTCCCATCGCCGTGCTCTGCCTTGCCTAGTGTTGCCCTGGGACTCCGGTCGTACCCTGTGATTGGAGGGAGCTGCTGGCTGGGTAAATGTTGGGACCCTCCTGTGGCAGCTGGGCCCGTGACACAGCCTTGCTGGGCTCTTTGCCGGGCCAGTGTTCTTGCTCGCCGCACGGCACGGGTCTCCGAGCAGCGAGGCTGGTGCTGGAACGATTCACTGCTTTAAAAACACACTGCGGGGAGGGGGGGATCCCCAACGGGGGGAGAGCTCACTAGCCCCCTCCCCGCCTCCCATCTCCCCTCCCCTTGAGCTTTCGGACGGGACGAGTGCGTGCCCACTGAATCACGTTGCTTGGGCTGGTCTTTGCTAGAGACGAGCCCCTTCCCCTGCACACTCAACGTGCTAAGCGTGGCCCAGGCCCCATTTTCGGGGCAGGACCCCCTCCCTCCCCCCAGGACACATGGTGCTTCCTGCTGACTTGGAAAATCGAATGCTTCAATTTTCGAGGTGTCTTTATTTTCCTCTCATCCCTGGGTGGCCCCTCTGGGCTTCTGATCTTCCTGGGGCTTCTTGTCACCAGGAACCAGACCCCGAGTGGGCTTCTCCGGTTGGTCTCGTGGCTCTTCTCCTGTCTTGTCTTGAATTTTCCATCTCTGCAACTCTCAGCCAGCCGGGCCGTGCCGCCCGTGTGTGCAGAGCAAACCTCCCAGGGAACTGAGACCCGAGCCGACTGCGTTTATTTCTTCTAGGCCTTTCTGCGATGTGAGCCGGCTGATTTTTTTTTGCGGTCGGGGGGAAGAATTCAAGCGGTGGTCGGTTTCTGAGCCTTTTGCTAATGGTGACCAGCGTTGCTGCGGGCCTGCTCGCAGAGAACCTCTCTGGCCTGCAGGTGGCAGCGTCTGTCTGACGCTCCCTGGACGCTTGAGTGTGAGCGAGGCTGCATCCGGATGCCTTGCAGGTCCCATCAGCATCTGCAAACCTCCAGGTTTCTCCTTTGCTTTCCCGTTGGAGCCGTGGCTCTCAGTCAGCCCTCTCGTGCGTGCAGCTCTGCTCTGCACTGGAGGGGTCTGGGGGGTGCCCTCAATGAAAGGGCAGGAACCCAAAGGCATCCTTTTGAGCAGAGCTTTCAGGCCGAGCTAGCGGCTTGGTCACGGTGGGGGCTGCATCTTGATGTTACAGGCCTGGTGCACACCCCTAGATTAAAACCAGGGGGCCACTCTCGGAGAGGGGGAGTGGAGGAGGCACCTTTGACACTCAGCAAATGTGTGTGGCACAGGGCCATGTGCCTCGGCTGCAGTCGGAGGCGGCCAGTGGTCTGCATAGGTGCGTGCTTTGCCCATTGTGGTTCTGGTATTGCTACACCTTCCTTCTGTTCCTGCGAAGGGTGGGGGTGTGCAGACCCAGCCTTTCCCACGCAGCTTTTGGCTTGGCTCGCCAGTACAGCCGCCAAGCGCCTGAGGCGCCGATCGGCTGTAAGTGGCCCAGAACGTCTGCTCCAGATTGCCACGGGCCTCGTCCCAGAAAGGTGAAAATGGCTAAACCCCGATCAGCGGCTCTGCTGGCTGGCAAATATGAACGGAATCCCGTAGTGCAAATGTCCTGCTTCCCACAGCCTTGCCGATTCCCTGTCTAAGGTAACTTATGAAATGCACCTGTCTGACCCTAGGAAACCTTTGTTCTGAGCTAGACTCTGACCTGGGCTCCCTTGTCTGTCTCTTAAACTCCTGCCATTACATATTTCGAAGGAAGGCTGTGGCTGCAGAGACTAGGCCTCTGGGGAAGAGGACGTGTATCTTTAAGGGAGAGGAGAGGAGTCCCCCCCAAGTTAGGTGTCCATTTGGGCTTGGGTGCAGGTAGGTTAATCACAAGTTGCCTCTTCATCCCATGCCCTTCTTGGGGGAGGGAGGGAGTCTAGTTTTTAATCTAGGTTAAGAATCATGATCGTCTTGAATGGTGGATGAATTTATGAAAGGGGTGGCAGAGATTCAGGGTGTGAGCTGGAGGCAGGTGTCACATGCACAAGCATTTGACCCTGTAGACTGGGCACTGACCTGCGGTGCCCTCTGCTAGTGAGTCCAACGCTCCCTTGGACAGGGTGTGCCAGGATCTTCCGGGGGCTCGGAGCTTTAGAATGACAGGATTGCCGGTGAGTGTGTCCCTATGAACTGCTTTGCAAGTGTGCGGGATTGAGTTGTCCCCTACAGCCGGCTCTCTCATCCAGGTGGCTAGTCTTAGTGGAGGTGATCACTGCACCTCGTTTGCTGCTTGTACAAGGGAACAGTGTATCCCTCCCTCCCTCCCTTTGAGCTATGTAGCTTCTCCAGCTCCAAGCCAGGGAGACACTCAGCCACAATCTCCAGTTTGACTCCTGGCTTGTGGTCATTTTAAGCTGTGCCCTTCCCCTGCCTGCTGGTGCACTTGCACGGGGTGCCTGAGCTCTCTCTGGATGTGGTTGACGTCTCTTTACGTGTTGTCTTTCCAGTCGACGTAGCTGCAGGCTCCTCGCACCGCTGCGGTTTCGAGTGGAAGCGATGCTGCTAGCTTTGGGGCATAGCTGCATGGGGCTCCTACATGCGATTCTGAACCGAGCATCTCTAGAAGCTGTCGTTTGCCCCCAGCCGGGACTCCTAAAAGGATAATTCCCATGGCATCTGGGCTTGTCAACAGTAGGAACAATAGAACCTTGAGGGCCCAGGCCTGGACCACTCTCTTGCAGCGCCAGTGTGTGTGTTGGATGTTGATCTAGACCTTTCTGTGGAAGGAAGTCCGCTCGGCTGTAATAACACATGGGCAGCGGGGTCTGGAACAGGACGAAGCAGGCTTTTCCCTCTAGGCTTCAACTAGTTGTTGCTGACCAGTGGATGTGTGTCGTGTGGGTCACTACAGCGCAGTGCGTAGAAGGCAAGTGGATAGTGGAGGGTTAATATCTTTGTCCTGCATAGCATATTAAAATAACCTGCTTAACTAGGTGAATTGGTGGGACTAAAATCCTTCCTGCAGAGGAGGACCGTGGTAGTTCTAAGCGTGGCTGGTCGTCTACCTCCTCAGTTTGATGATAAAGTACACTGCCTCAGTGGCTACCATGGAGGTACCGGAACATTGTGGACAGGACTGTCCGTGAACAGCTTGAGTCTTGCAACTCCAGAAAGCAAGGCCCAAGAGAGAACAACCCAAAGGAGCCCAGGCTGGACCCTGTACTGCAGCTGCTGGTGGGAAGCACAGCCGCATTCGAGTTTTACATGCAGCCGCCGAGAGAATGATCCAGGCTGCTTGTTTTATTTTTCCTTAATCACAGGCTCTGTATCATCTCCCCCCCCCCTCCCTTTTTTTATTTTTAAGGTAAGCCTGCTTCACTTGAAACCCTGCATTCTATCATGATACTGGTCATGAGGAGGGTTTTAATTGGTAATGATATAAAAAACCTGCACCTGGGACTTCCCCATTGTGTCCCTCAACACAACTGTCAGGGTGTGGGAAATGACACAGGTGGTGATCACATGGGGGAAGGTGGGGTAAGTACTGTACTGTGGTCTTGAAATTTTTATTTTTGCATATGTAATCCATCCTGTACAGGTAGTTCCAACTTTGTAAAATCTGTGTATTCCCATTAGTGGATTGTGGCTGCCCCTGTAAATAAAATGCATCTTGACTTGGTATCAAAGCCTCTTTTCTGTATAATGTCATTCACCTGCAGCTGTCTCCCCTTCTGACTAGAACTACAGCTGCGGGGGGAAGTGGTAATGGTTATAAGAGCTGTGGGTTGTGTTTTTAAAATTCAAGCCGCTTCCCACTCCCCCAAGAGTTTATCTCTAACTGTTAAACTGCATGAGGAAGAACGGGAGTTTGGCTGCAAAAGGTGCAAACTGCCACACAAACTGGACTGGAAGGGACTGTCGGGGGGGGAGAATGCAACTGTACCCTTTCATCATGCACTGAGACCTGAGAGACTTGCTGCTTGTAATTTTTAGAGTAGTCCCGGCTGTGACCATCACACAATGATGGAGGCCTGCCCTAAAGGCTTTTTGCACTAGTATAACTACTTCAGGTAAGGGTGTGGGTTTTGTACCAAGATTGTTATCCTGGTAAAAGCCCTGCTGGGAATCTGATTATGCTAATATGGCTAATTCTCACTCAGGAAGCAGAATAAGCTATATCCATAAGCACTTTCATCCCTGTTCAATTGTGCCCAATGTGTTTTGGGGGGAAGGGGTGCTGCTTAAGGGGCACCCCTTCTCTCAGCCCTTGTCTAGGGGAGAAACTGAACTCCCTGGAATAACCCTCCAGCTGGATGCTCTGTTCTGGAATAATCATTCCCCTCACAAAACAGTAATTCTGGAATTAAACAAAAGACATTTGAGAGACTGGTCTACACTAAAGCTTTAAGTCAATGTAACTTAAATCGCTCAGAGGTGTGAAAAAGATACCTCTCCCCCCCAACCAACCCCCAAAGCAACATGAGTTACATTAACTGAAGCACTCTCCACCCCGCATGCTGTTGGTGGGAGATGTAGCTTCTGTCTCTCGCAGAGACGGAGTAATTATGCTGATGGGCGAACGCTGTCCTGTTGGCATAGCGTGTCTTCACCAGATGTGCTACAGTGGCATAGCTGTGCCAATGTAGCGCAGTAGCATAGACTTGTCCTAGAAGTGTTCACGGGGGGGAGCTATTTCAGAATAGCGTATTCAGGTCTAGCTATTCTGGTCAAGTTCCCGCTGTAGGCAAGGCCTCAGCTGTAAACCAGGCAGTTGCATGGCTCCTGTAGGCCTACTTCCCCCTGCTGCTTCTCAGAGCTTTGAGTTCCTTACACGTTCATACTTCTCGCACTCCTGTGCGTGCAGGCAGTTTCTCTTCTGCCCCCGTGCAAAATAAAAATCAGCCTTCAACAACCAGGAGCAACTTTCAACATGTTCATTAGCTGACTTTAAACAAAATCCACTGTAGGGCCTGTCTTTATAAATGCATTCCTAGAAAACGAGGGCGGGGAGGAAAGTGCTCTAAAGAAAGTTAAACATTTGTCTCAAAATGGCTGGGATAGGCACAAGTCTACACCCCCCCCCCCCCCCCGGGGGGGGGGGAAGAGCACTCGGCAGAAGTTGCAACCTTCTATTTAAAAAGAATTCCTTTAAAAATAGTTCCCTCCCATTTGCACCAGGTGCCAGTGAGAATATTTGGTCTTTAGAATTAGCACGTTCAATGCAAAGCAAGCCTGCTCAAGCAGGGAGGAGGTGCCAGACAGCCCTATACCCCTGAAAGGGGCTTTTAGGGCTTAGGCCCTGGTGGAGTGCACACACGCTGCACTCATGTGCTGAGTGAGCTAGCCTCTTGCAGGAGTGGCAAAGTGACAGAGAAGTACCATGCAGGGCAACATGCTGTCTCATCACCACGGAGTCCGTTCTTGGGAGTTTGGCCTATCCTAAAGCAAGCCTGAGCATGCAAACCTACAGCAGCTGCATTCTAACAGGGCCCATTCCTCTACAGCAGAGAGGACAAACCACGAAGCCAGAGTTGCTTTCTGCCAGGCTAGAAAGTGGCTCTTTTTACAGGACTCCTTCACGCAGCTGAGACAAGCTCCGAGTGCACAGGCTGAGGCTGCTTGAAAGATGTTCACGAGGCAAGGGACAGAAGGTCCCTTTCCTCATCTCTACCTGAGAGCAGTTGCAGCAGCACCTTGGGAGTGACGATTCGTCTCATGACATAAATGACACAGGTCAGTTACAGCACACAAGCAGCACCCGGCAAAGCTGTCCCCTTCTATGGAGGAACAAAGTCTCATTAAGCAGCAGCAAGGTGAGGAAACAAACAGTGAATCTAGGGGTCTCTCTTCCACATTGCTGGATACAGAAGGTTCTCTAGTATTTGAGCAGGCACGGGGTTCCCTGGGCCCCCAGCCACTTTCCCTAACACCGTTTGTCACAGCACATTTAAAACAAGCTATAAAACAAATGCTGGGTTCCAATTAAAGGGACAGACAGGAGTATCTACCCCTCCAACTTTGCCTCTTATCGTCCATACATCCCAAAAACCAGGAAGCTGAAGAAGACAGTCACCCCAACCAAGGAGACCGTGGCTGGCGCAGTGAAGAATTGGCGGTAGTTGATGCGGCAGTACCAGATCACAGCCAGCATCACCACGAAAACAGGGAGCATTAGATTCCCTATGTTCACCGTGACCCCTGCTGCTTCTGCTGGGGTGACCGCCGAGTCAGGAAGGGGAGAGCCGGCGGTCTGCGAGAGGTGGCAATGGATCACACAGTTGTCCATGATATTGAGGGAGCGGAGGGTCCGTGCCTGGTCCTGGAGTAGCTGGCCCTGATAGATAAACTTCATCTGATTTTCTTGTCCTGGGAAATATTTGCTTTTCAGGAAAACAGAAAGAGGCAAAGTTTAGAAGAGAGGCTTTAAAAAACCAGTCCTAAATGCAGCCAAGACTAGTGTAAAACCCAAACAATGTAGCAAGGTTAAACCTCCTCAGGATACAGGATTCAAATGTAGTCCGTAAGTAATGGTCAATTTCACCATCCTTCCCAAACCACAGCAGCAACTACTAACTAGGAGGAGTTTAAGTTTACAGAGTGGGGAAGTTACACAGCCCGATGACTGCTCCTGCCAATTCCAGCTGCCACTGAAAACGAAACCAAAGTTCACAATGGGTTCAAACAATTGGGCTCCAATCCAGATTAGCCCCCCTGTGCACGACAGCCCTTGTCCCAGAGAGCACATTATAGACACTAGCGTTTAGGATTTACCTCTTGACGATAACTGGGTTCATAAAAGAACTAGATAGATTCATGGAGGGCAGGTCCATCAATGGCTATTAGCCAGGGTGGGTAGGGCTGGTGTCCCTAGCCTCTGTTTGCCACAAGCTGGGAATGGGCGACAGGGGATGGATCACTTGATGATTAGCTGTTCTGTTCATTCCCCCTGGGGCCTAGTGGGTTGGGCACTGGAGGGGGACTCAGGAAAGCTGGGTTCTAGTCCCAGCTCTGCCACTGGGTTGCTGGGTGACCTCGGGCAAGTCACTTCCCCTTCTGTGCCTGTCTCCCCGGTGATAAAAATATGGATGAGGATACTGACCTGCTCTGAGATGAACTGATGAAAAGGGCCATAATAGGTAATAGCACAGACCGACATTTATACAGAGTAAGAGCCAAATCTGTCCAAGCCATCACTTACCAGTGAGGGGCACATCGTTAGACATCCCAGAGAGAGATTTAATGGTTGCTACACATTTATAATCAGGCACTCTACAGACACACAAAGGGACAATCCTCACAGAACCTGTGGCAGTGCTTGTTGGGGGAGGTTTGCTCCCTTAACTCTGGGCCTCAGAGTCAAGTGGGATCCTTTCCCCATAGACTGCAAATCCCCTTGATGCCTCTTACATGGAACTTACCTCTTGAGAACACCCACAGTGTCCTCCGGTCTCACCATGGCCACCTCTTCTGTGTCATTGAGGAACTTGAGACGCACTTTGATGAGCCCGGAGCATGGTTCACTCTCCTCCCTGATGTGTGGCATTTGCGAGGTTCCTTGGCTCTCTTGACCCGGCTGTTCTAGGGCACTGGACTCGCTGGAGGATGTCCTTTTGGGCAAGCCTTGTATGTTCAGCAGATGGTCGAGGCTGGAGTCAGAGGTGCTGCCATTGCCCCCCTGCTCAACTGCAGGGCCCAAGTTGGATGCAGCACCCCCTTCCTCTTCGGCTTTTTCTTCTGCACTATCAGCCGACCCCTGGGGCTCAGTCGGCTCTGACGTTACTGAATTCCCCACGTACCGTTCGACGTGGCTGAGATGGATCACTGAGGATTCGCCCGTAGCTACAATCGTTCCCAAAAGCTGGTTGCTGCCATCTGCTACATAAGTGGAAAGCCACGCCAGAACCAGAGCCAGGACAAGAACCACCACGCCAGTCACCACCGTTACTTCATCCCCCAAGCCTTCGAAGATGGTCATGCCAGGGGGCTCCATCTCTTGGCTTCTTGCAGGAGCTCAGCTGCAAAGAAAAAGGAACTCCGCTCCAGCCATGAACCAACAAAAGGAAGGTGCTCCAGAAGGGGAACCAACTGAGGCGGTGTGGAGCCTAACAGGAAAGAACAAGCAGTAGTTTCTGCCTTTCCAATCGCTGAGACCCTTGCTCGGTTTTAACATTTGTCCCTTTCCCTTAAAAACAAAGAGCACAAGCACCTATCAAATGGGACATGCACAGCAAGCATAAGGGAACCATAACCAGCCAGGTTAACATGAAAGAAAATTAGACAGGCTCTCCGAATGTCTTCTTAGTTCTTTATCCTCTAGCCGAGAAATAGGCGTGGCAGAAATAACTATGGTTGGTTTGTTTTTATGACTCCCCAGAACGTGACGGCCACATTCAAGCAAGTGGAGCTGTTTTTCTCCTAGCTCAACTTTGCCACACAATCCCAGCACTGAACATAAACAGTTGCTGTCCAGCAGTGGGGACCTCTGGCCTGTTTTCTGGCAAAGTTCACTTTTTAATGTGACATGCAACTGCCCTTGGTGTATCTACCAACTACACAATAAATCGGTGGGAGGGGAAGGGTTCTCTTACACTTATCTTTACTGGCATAGTTAAGAGGAGAAGAAAGGAAGCTAATACAGAACTAGAGAAAGTTAAGACAGGTAGAAGCAAAGCAAGAACGACCACGTTACGAAACTTAAATATCAAATCAATTTAGCAAATGGCAAATCAGCTTTTTCCACAGCAGCGCCTTCATTAATGCTGGTATAATGGACCATTCAGGTATGAAACATCCCCAACCAAATACATTAACATTTAAGAAGTAATAACCATATTAGAATGGCAAGAAGAAATTCTTCCACGGTGCCTTCCACAGCAGAGGATGTAAGCAGAACACATGAGCTGGAAAATCAGGTCAAACTAGCACCTCTCACAGATGAGGAAAGAACACATTCTGTGCCTTAGCCACAGAACTCCTGGGGCCCATTCTTAGTTTGGCATTGGACAGGTCACCTTTGTACCTCAGTTTCCCCATCTGCAAAATGGGAATGGTGATATCAACCCATTTCATAGGAGGCTCACGAAGGTCAACTCATTCATTTTTAAAGGTCTCGGAAAATAATGTGAAAGTGCTCTAGAATGGCAAAGCAAAGACACAGAAAAGTTTAAATGATTGGAGACATACTGTACAGATATAGAAGGATCCTTTCCATGGATCAGGGAAAGACATGCCCACTCACAACTCAGACATTTTTAGAAAAGGAAACAAGCATATTGCCAGGGTCCGCAGCTTTTCATTAGAGTAATAGCCAACCCCTCTTTTTCCACATCTCTTAGAAGCAAGTCCCTGTAACAAAGACCTGAACTTGAAATCCTAAGTAGAGAAATTTAATTTTGGGAACAAGTGTCACACAGATTAGTCCCTCAATGATATTTACAATCATGGGTTCAGTTCAATTTACCATGGAAGACTGTGATTAGTGAGGGGGACTTGGATTGTAGTCCTGGCTCTGCCACTGATCATGGATAAGTCACTTCCCCCTCCCAGTCTGTCTCTCACTTTCCTCATCTGTAAAATGGGAACATTCACTCACTCGCCGTAGCTACCTCACAGGTGGGGGCACTGAGGGTTGGACTGGCTAATACTTACACAGAGCTTCTGGGAAGTATCTATGCTATTCACACACTCAGCATCATTGTTGGTGCCATCTAAGAAAGCACCAGTCTGCGCGTGGACCACCCTTGGAAAGGAGAGGGCATGTTCTGCCATTTCATGGAGTGCTGAATCCGAGACCTTTTCTCCACTTACGTTGCTGCAAAAACCTAAGATGATGAAAGACCTGGCGCACACCCAGCCCAGCAGGACCAGAAGCCCAGGGCTGCCCTGTCTGAGACAGGTGGGCCGCCCGCACGGTGCATAGAGGAAGAACTTTGTTTCCTAACCCTCCTGGAGCCCTGACTTTCCCCGGCCCATTTCCATGGGCCGGAGACAGGTACCTGCAGACAGAAACCTCGGCCAGGGGAGTTACCTGAAGGGAAGCACCGAGGCCTCTCAGACCTGGGTGGGGAGGGATTAGACCCCGCTTGTGGGCTGCGTGTTAACGACACCGAGCGAGCAGGGAGGTGGCATTAATAGCGTGTGTGTGTGTGTGTGACATGTTCCCAAGAGATGACATGGCCCCAACAGCGGGGGAGGGGGATCAAGCCCGGGGGGGGGCAGAGCCCGGGGGGGGGGG